ATAGAAGGTCGGCGATCTGGTTCTCCTCTCTCCGGACATGCTCAATCTTGAAGCTGGCGAATCAACCAATCTCCATTTTCACCTTCCCTAGTACTTTGACATCGTCTCGTCCCTTGTTTCGAATGACCGATTGATTTAGACCGTCGGTTGTGAGACAGCTCTTAGCAGTATATGGAGGATCCCCATCTCTAAGGCCAAGCGAAGAACTGCAATCAAAGTTTCATATTTTGTCTGGTTGTTAGTGAAAAATTGACCTCAATTGAGTTATAGATGTTTTCCCCTGTTGAACTACACAGAAAAACTCCAAGTCAAGCGCCCAGTCAGATGGAGGCCCCATCCGTGAACAAAGTACAAATGGCTTCATCGATCGACAATTCTTCCATCAAGTCTCGTGGCTCAGAGAAGTCTGCTAGGAAATCTGAAGTGGTCTGTGCGTTTATCACTGTCCGGGGAATGTAAGAGAAGTCAAATCCAATGAGTTCTACGGCCCACTTGATCAGTCAAGCAGAATGTTTTGGCCAAATGAGGAAGGACTTTAGATGGTGTTCGACATTGACTTGTATGGGATGTATTTGAGAGTACGATCGGAACCTTTGTGCTGAAATGACCAAGGCGAATGTCAGTTTCTTCATTATTGGATACCTGAGTTTGGCATCCTTGAGGACCTGGCTAGTGTAGTGTATCAGGTGTTGTTTTTCGAGTTATTCTCTAACCAGGACCGAATTGATGACTTCAGAGCCGACCCTCAAGTAAGATAAAATTTTTCTTTGGGTTTCGGGCTCTGAAGAAAAGGGGGGAGGCGAGGACCTGTTTGAGGTTTTTGAAGGCTTTCTCGCATTCAGGTGTCCATTCAAAGCATTTGACTTTTCCGAGTACTTTGAAAAATGGAGCGCATTTCTCTCAACTTGGAGATGAATTTGCTCAGCCCTGCAATCCGGCTGTCAACCTCTGAATCTCCTTAGTGCTTCTAAGGGAAGGCATGTCGAGGAGTGTTTGAATTTTTTTTGGATTAGCTTTTATACCTTTGGGAGTTAGTAAGTACCTTAAGAACTTGTCCGTCGATGCTCCAAAATACCTGACACTGTGTTTAACTTCATGTTAAACTTTTTGAGAGTTTTTAAAGTTTCTTGCAGCTCTTTAATATGTTGTGTGGCCGACTGACTCTTAACTAGCACATCATCGGCGTATACCTTAATGGTCTTTTCTTTTTTATTAGTGAAAATTATTTTCATGAGGCATTGGTAAGTCGTTTTGCATTACATTATAGCAAAACTCTCTCACAAGTAATAAAAGAGATGTTTTGCATGTGCATGATGCATTTTGATCTGATGATACCCGGAGAAAGCGTCAAGACAGCTTAGAACTGAGCGGCCGACCTCTGAATCCACCAGAGCATCAATCCTTGGTAGCAGGTATGTGTCTTTCAAGCAATCTAAGTTTAGGTTGATGAAGTTCGTGCACATCCTTCACTTTCCATTAGCCTTCTGTACCATCATCACTTTGGAGACCCATGTGGGGCACTGTACTTCTCGAATGTACCCTGCTTCCTCCAATTTTCGCAACTCCTCTCGAATGGGTCCCGCCAGTGTCATGGTCAAACTTTAAATCTTCTGCTTCACGGGCAGAGTCGATGGGTCGACATTCAATATGTGACAGGCAGCGTTGATCGGCACGCCTGACATTTCAGCGGCCGTCCATGCGAAGACATCCCGACTTTCCTAAAGGATATGGATTAGCAGCTTCCTCTGCCCCACATCAAAAGTGTCACTTATCAGAAAACATTTACCTGGCTCTCTCTTGACAGTTGAGACTTCAAGGGTGGCCTCGTTGGTCTTGAGGCCACCTTCCTTACATTATGGATGTCCAAGGGATCGTGTTCCACATTACTTATGGCTCGTAAGTAGCAAACTAGGGACTGTTCCAGGTCACCCCTGACTGTGATGATTTCTCCGTCTCTAGGAAATTTGACAGTGATGTGATAAGTGGAGACCACAACCCTGAAATTATTCAGGAGCGATCGGTCGAATAAAACATTATATGTCGGGGGGGTATCCACCACGAGGAAATCCTCCATTAGGATAAACTGCTTCTCATCCCCCCCCCCCCCCCC